TTCAGCTGATAGAAACACCGTCACATTGAATGTCGCTTTTTTTACGCCCACCGCGGACACTGTTCTGGTACATGCTTCGTTTTTAGGCAGTGTTGTCGGTTGTCACACATTATTGCTTGTTCTCATCAAGTGGCCTTGACGGTGACAGTCTTGATTTTTTTATTCTAACGCAAACAACTTAACTGAGCACCTTAAATCTCTTGCAACACACACAAACCCAACCGGTAAATCCTTCAATGAAGGATATGAAAAAACAGGCCTGTGCTTAGTCCAGAATTTTAAATTCCAACCTACCGTAGCCAGGTGAACAAATAGAAAATCGAAGGTACGATCGGAGAGGTCTCAACTAAGACTTCTAACCTACACCTATGGTTGTCTCCGAAAACCTAAACTAAATCTGTCTTTAGGGGAAATAATTCGTCGGCGATTTGCTGTTTAAATATAAAAATGGCGAAAAATGGCGGTAGAACTAGTGAATCAAAATTTGCTGTTTAAATATAAAAATGGCGAAAAATGGCGGTAGAACTAGCCTAATGACTCAAAACCGGGGGGGGGGGTTGTGGAAATTGTAAACTGTCATTTTTCTTGTTCAATATTCCTTGTTTTCTCCCTGTCGATACTGATTACATTGTTGTAAAAAGTTTAATATATTTAAAAAGACAACGAACCCCCTCTTCTTGAGGCTCCACGAGACTAAGTGCCTTTTCTCTGGGTGACTGCCATTGTGACTGGCGGTTGCAGAATTCTGACTATCTTCAGCGTAAACCAACATTTTAGCCGCAAACGCAGAACCCATTTATCCATGTTGGCACCTACCAGGGGCCTGGGATGCCGGGAAAGTAGAACCTTTTCTCCTCGGTTTAACGGACCTTCGAAATTTCTTGTTGTGAACTGTAAGTCAAGATCTCCTTAGACTGTTCTCTCTGTGACATTGCATCTGACTTACGTTAATAGATTCTTCTATTCATTGGAGACTTTTCAGAACCGTTAACCACTACAAGACTACAAAAGATATCCTCCATCCTCAAAAAGCGGTCGCACTGGATCGCGTCTGTTATTTACCTCATTGTTTGACATTTGCCTTTCCTGATATTTACTTATTCAAATCCCGAGGTGTCAGGATAATCCCAGACGGTATTGGTGCTACCCAAAGATAACACGGAGGAAGCACCAAGGAATCTGCAACTGCATTTCTTATCTATGAGCATTATGTATGTCAGTTTCAGCGGAGTTTCCCTAACTGGAACGTGGTCAGGCAACAGATAGCTGGGCAGCAGAAAAGTATTCAGTTTGACAGCGTAGGCATCCGAAGCGCCGAACAAAAGCCTTCGCTAGAAAATAGCTTTGAAACGCTGTGCCTTAAGGTCCGTGAAAAACCGGCTGATACAGTGCACTCAGCAACCACCACAAGTTAACACCATACTTATTGACTCTCTGTTTTCTAAACCATTTTACACTTAATGGAATCCGCAAAACATCAATGACGTATAATACCTGAAACTGCTAGTTGACATCCTTGTAGCAAGGACCTTAGGAGAAACAGGTTTTCCGAGGTGCTTCAGAAGACTTTAGAAGCTGATTTTTCTTTTCTGTGCTCACTGCAGTCTCTGTAAAGTCATCTATTACAAAGTTTGAAAAAATTCTCCAGTATTAATTTTTGCTTGCAGAAATTGCAGCGATGGTGTGCTGACAACCTCTGGTTGCATATTAAACCCTGATAGCAACACTGCCACATTTACAGAGTCAATGATTCTGACGAGTAAATGGTTTATAATTAGGCGGATGACTACCGGCTTCAAAATTTAGTCCCTATCTGTTAAGTCAATTTACAAGCAGTTGCTCTTCCAAACATGCCGCCAAGCGTATAAACCGATGCGTGCACCTATCGATCAGGCTTTTTGCAGGAAAGTAATAATTCCCTAGGGTGAGTGTTTTGTGTAGATCTTCCCTTTTCAGTCATCGGTTTACATATTTCGGACAACAAAAGTTTTGGTTTCTCTCAAATTCCGTAGCTCTATCAAGAATTTGCGCCCGTTCATCCGTCAGGCAGGGGAAATCACAACCAAGCAACTGAAAGCCGTTGACCAACATGCGTTGCAAGTTTCCCGATTTTAAATGTATTGTGAAAACAATAGTCGCCATATCGGGAAAAATAAAACCGTTCCAGAGCAAATCGTGGGCTCGCAAATCCCATCTTTTGTATCTTTAATCTATCAATGACTCGGGAAATTTGTCATTCTCTCCATGGGAGTGGAAAATTCTGGATGAGCCGCAGAGATCCCTGAAATGTAGACCATTCTAAGTTGCAAATTAAAAGTTCATGTGCGACCTCCAGCCTTTTAAGTCAAGGCAATGTTCAAATGTGACGGCGGTAGTTAAAAATTTTCAGCTCTGATGCATTTAAGATAAGTCTTGAATAAAACATTAGTAAGTCGTCTGTTTGAACTCGTTCGCCGTTCAATCCGGCCATATGCCTGTTGGCTGTTTGTCTCATACCTTTGCTCCCATTGCGGGGACCGGAGAACTTCAAGTCCTGCTTTTCAAGCTCGCACTGGCGTCCCTTAGTTTAGCGTACCCTTCCAGGAATGCGGGGCGCATCCACAGTTGATGTTTATATACCACACAAAAGCTGGAGTATGTGTTACCCACTCCAGCTTCGTGCATAAAGCCTTTAAATATATGGCTCTTTTATCACCATAAAGTACATTCCATTGGCTTATCAGTGAAACGGTTTTTAGTTCATAAAAATTGACTAACACCCGGTATTTTGCGAATTGACGTATTGTTAGGCAAACTAATCTGAACAAAGTATCTTTCTTGTAATGGGAAATTGAGTGTTGGGGGACAGGCAGAATCATCAGGTGTGGTCGTCAGCCAACTTATGTTCCGCGCTCCTTTTGTAGAAGGACCCCCCACTTCTTCATCCAACTTTTATGGCAGTGAGATTGTTTGCTTCGACCCACCGAACAACGCCGATAGTCATACCACCACCGAGTTTGGAATTTTCATACTCAGCTGCAGTATTGTCGATTCTACAGCCTAATTCATGCAAACAGGGCTGTTTGATTTGATGTTTGGGCGTATGAAGCTCGGTGGGCCATCGGGTCTTCTCTCGATATACCACCGTAATCTACTGTGTTACGTTTCTCCTGGTCCACCAGCTTGGCCTCACACGTTCTCTGTTTTCCTACTCATCATCATCATCAAAGACAGCAACATCAATGTAGGCACTGATGGTTCACTGCCGTATAATTATAAGGTTCGTCTAGTCATATAAATATAATTATATTTAATGCTCCAGGGTGAAAAGAGGAGAAAAAGTTTGGATGAGGGAGGGGACCTAATACTGGCCTATGCTAAGCATTCTGAGGTGCCTACACCTTCAGCCGCTTAATCAGACAATCTGGAAAGAAACTGACAGCACGAACGCTACTAATGTCGATTAGCCGCCATTTCTTGCAACATCTCCAGCCAAGTACAGACGGGGTCAGAGAGACCCCATCCTGGAACGCCTACACCACCAAAAAAACACTCAAACTCTTCGTGATCTCTTCCACGCCTTTCTGTCAAGTCATGCGCTGTCCACCTCGCGGTTTATTTCATTCCGAAGGAGGCACGGAGAACAACACTGGTCTCGGTAAACAGTGTTTTGGCATGCGTAGCACATGACCGAGCCATGGTAGTCGATGATGCCGGATTTTTTCTCGGTCGCGTGAAGCACAACCAAATAACCGTTTTCTGATCACCTCGTAACGAACACACTGACGCCATCCAAAACCAGCCACGCTTCTGAAGCATCGGTGGTCGGAAACCTGAAGACTCCTCGCATCATCTACCCGCAGAGACCATGTCTCGCACCCATACAACAACACATCCCTTACTGTATCCTGGTATACACGACCCTTAAGATCCAGTGAGATGCCTTTTTGACGCCACAAGTGATGCAAATTAGCCAATGTGATTCAAGTATTTGTTCCGGAGTTCCTTATACTAAGCTTAATCTTCAAGTCAGTCGCTGTATTAGTCAGATTGTTAGGACGTCCCTCAAGCAGATAGTCATTGGTGAGGCCCAAGTTTTAATATATGTTTGTCTGTGTTATTCCTCCTCTTTGCTTGACTTTACTAAGCGACACCTTCGAACTCAAAGGCAATCACTTAGGTTCAGTGACTGTAATGGGCAAAAACATTTCTGTGTCCGTGAATAGCATGCCAAATCTTCGGTGATTTCTACGTCCTTGTGCTTTTGTAGACACGTTTCCAATTTGTGCAATCCGCTCTGAGCCAACCTCTCCGGAATTTCTAAGATTTGGAGGATTAATATGGTTGCGCCTAATAATAAGCCAGCCTTTGCCGGCCTCACTTGGTTTACTTGTTTATGCATGGGGCCACTACTGGGGATTAACAAATATGCCGTTTGGGCAGGAGTGACGTACAAACTAGAGAGCTTCATGCGCGGAAAACGCACGGAAAACAAAAGTGCAGAAAACGACTCAAACAGCCAAGTTAGGATGAAATCTTTGTTTCTTGGCCTCTGGATTTGGTTGTCTCAGCGAGGCTGATCATGTGGGTGAAACGATGGTACTTAGTCATCAGTAGTTGTTGGGTGAGCCGCAGCGTGTAACTGTAGAGATTCTAGACACTCACTTCATAGAACTTCTTGAAACCCCCAGAATGCTTTGGTGCCGCTGCACTGTACCAGTTGTTGCATATTATAACCGCGTTTAAACATTCAGCAGTATATCAGATTGCAGCCAGATGTTATATATCAGCTATTCTCATTCTTCATGGTTGATGTAGGAGAGCAGCGCTCTTCCTAGTACGGCGGCTAGTAGTGGCCACAGCTTTGGTTTTTTGTCTGCTGCCCTCTGATTTTCAGTGCAAATGTACGATCAAGTCGGTGTCTCTCCTTCGTGGCTTCTTATCTGGAGTATTCGCGAGCATAAAAGGCACTCTATTTACCACAGAAACAGCAGTAATCACTGGGCTCTGAAAAGCCATACCTCGATGTGCTTATTAGTTCACTACCCCGTTTTTCCCAGCAGTGAAGTTGCAGCTGAATATAGCAAAATAAGCAGTAAGCAGCACTCACGCGTGGTTCCGGCCTGGGACGATCCGGAATTTCATTGCTGTGAAAATCCACCTTCGTAACTGAGCGATAGTCAGTTTTGTATTCTTTTGGCGCGAATTCGCGCTCCACTTCTTCTCTAATGATTCCGTATGCGAAAAATGATAACAATTTACCGTATGCGTTTATATAGCTCCATGTCATCTTCCCTTAAAGCTGTCATCGGTCAATTCATGAATAGATTCACCTAACTTTTAGACCCGAACGGGTTGCATTCGTCCGAACTATACACTGGGGGGCATATTTTCTCTAACGTTTCGTCTTTTTTCACTTTCCTCGACTCTGCGAGCTTTTCCTCCGCTTCCCTCCTTAAACGTTCGCGCTCGCGATACTAAAAAAATTAAATTGTACTTCCGAAAGAAACCTCCTCCGTCCAATCTATTCTTTCGTCATCAAGATGTAGCAGCTCTTCGCTTATGGCTTTAGCCATTTTCTTAAAATTCCGCCGTTGTATTAGTTACGACAACTGGCGTCAAGGTCGAACAATTCAATTGTTCTTCCTTTCGATTTAGATCAGTCAGTAGGCCCGATGGACTATGGGTGAAATAGGTAAGCGAAAAGGCAAATTGATTTGGATGGTGGCTTGGTAAAACCCAACACTTATATGAATATATTACAAAAGTACGTAAGGGGATCAAACCAGCTAAGCGCCGAAATCGATGACTTTGTCAGTTGGAGATTCGGCATAATCGATGTCGATGTCCAAACCTGAGAAGCAATTAGAAGATGACCCAGGTGAGCAGAGTGCGGTCTGAAATTACACGTATTTTTGCCGGCTATTGACATTTGTCTTGCAAGCACATTATCACCTGGGACTTTTGTTTCAGTACGTAAATCGGTCACGTCGTCTGGCCACTTGCCAACACGGTACTTTTGTAGATCTTGGTAGGTTTCTGATTCACTGGGATGTGCTCATGTCGGCACCTCCCCGCCAGAGGCTTCACAAATAGAATAGGAAAACTTTGTCAGAACCTTCACAAAAGGTAGAGCTTTTCATTTCCGATACAAATAGGAGACGCATTAGGCATACAAGCTACTTTCACCGTGAAGTTCTAAGAGGCTGAGTTAACTTCTGTTGGTAGGAGCAGTGGAAGATCTCTTATTAACCTGTGAACTCCATCACTGATTTACCCGATCATAAGCGTTGAGTACCCCTGAAAATATTTCTGGTGCATTGTCGGGGCTACTCTGTCATAGTGGCTACCTGATACAAACACGACCCTGGATAATGAACGCCAGAAAGCTACTGCCTGCCGTAAACAAGTATACGGTAACCATCCACGTCCTCTCCTCTTTTGCCAAGACCTGAATCCCATAAAGCTAATCAGGTGGAAACTACCTTAACCCTACTGGCGATAGCAACATCATGCTATGTCTGAACTCAAGTAAAATCCGAGCCGGCAACTCATAGTACTAGTCCGCAGGCAATAGGATTTTTCTACGCTGGTTCGTTGGAAAATGGCTGAAGAATATCGTAATGGGATGGTCCGAGGATCTTGACAACAGAGGAATGCAAAAAATGCCGTATTTTCATCATACTTGCGGTTTTTCTATTTTATCTTGGTTTTTGGCCGAATCCTGGAAAACGGTTTTGTAACGCCTCATCTTCAGGAGTTAAGAAAGTGGTTAAACGGCGCCGCTAATGTTGCTCCAATCACTAAGTTATTGGAGTCATGGTTTTGACCGTGAATTATAAAAATTCTACCTGGTTGTTGGTTCCACGGCATTGTTTTTGTTAACTAAAGAACGGTCTAGGGGCCTCTGTGCAAAGTTGGCACCGTGTGATGGACTCAGATGTTTCGCCTTGCTTGCCACACACAGCCGGGCGGATAAGAGAAAACACAAGACTGCTTTTTATTCTCATTTTACCCCATAGGTTAATTATGATCGTCCATCAAATCCATCTGCAGGCGATTTATTTGGGGCCCAGTGAAACCACCCGCAATACGTCGCAGCATGTACACGTAAAATTTCATCCGATATCCGACCTCGTAATCGTATCTTTATCGCAACTTACACAGTAAAATTTCCTCAGCTAATTCACGCCGCGCATATTTGAATTACGCTTGTATTGATTTTTGCCAAGATTTCGAAATGTGGGGGACAGGATCGAAGCATGATCGTGAGAAGCTTAGTCCCTTAAGCAACAAGGGGATAACATGGGTGGTATTTCCATGTTGGCTAACCGGTCAAGAAGAATGCACGCCTCAAATATCATTCGTATATTTCAGTGGACGCCTTCCAGAATGCGGCTTGCCTGGACAATGTCGCACAGCATGTCTCCGTTTTGTCCTATCACTAGCACACATTTTGGATTATAACCTGCAAATAGCGTATTGCAAGTGTCCACGATTTGCCTCTCATCTCCCTGCCCAGTGGCCGTATGTAACAATCCAATGAGGTATGTATGCGCATTCCGGCATTGTTTAGTATGCAAAAGTGACTCTCAATAGTTAGAAAACGTTGATGGTCATTAGAAAAAGTGGGTGCACCTTTCAGAAGGTTCAGAGTATGTCATTCAGGCGATGTTTCAGAACACTGACTTCTTGAATATGTGAGGACGCACGGAGGCCCGGCACAATTCGTCCAGAAAACACATTTGCATCCACATTTCGGCTCCAAAAAGGGTGAAAACGGAAGCCACTGGTTCACAGTTTAATACTATCACCGATGATTTAGGGCGCCGGCTAGAGGTGGAAGACATGCAATTGATTCAAAGAATGCAAATGAAAACCCTCGCCATCCCTTGCAAAGTCAATTCCCCAACTGCCTTTTCAAACCCTGACGTGATTCGCGTGCTACACCCTTGTTCTGTAGAAGTAGACGACAACCGTTAATGAAGTTGGTGATGATTTCATTCAACTTTGCCTTAAATATTAGTACCAGAGCAACTGAAACTAATTTACATTGTAGCCTGTTTGTCCTCCTTCGAGACCCCATGCGCTCCAAGTAGGTCTTGCATTCCTTGAGGCTTGACGCTCAGTAAACATCAGCTGCAATGTTTAACGCGCTGAGAAACAGCACTTGAACTTGACATTATGTAAACGTGCATCTAGGAGAATATTGCTGGCGAGTTACTGAAAAGCTGTTCGTCTTCAGGCAAATCGCCCATCTAGAGGTATTTTGATAAACTAATAAAAAGTGTACACGAACGATAAGAGCGTTATCCTTGTCCGCGGAAACTCAAAAAGGAGCAGTAGCTCGTGACTTATGCAGAAAGAATTTCCCATTTTGCAGCAAGCATCTCGCCATACAAAAACCATTAATTCGTCACAGAGTGATTTTGGAAGATTTTGCCTTGATGGACAGCTCGTCTTGTGTTTGCCGCAGCGCAAGATTTTATCTTCACCAGCATGCTAACAAATAACGGCTTGCGGGCAGCACGAGCATAGAGTGTGATGGACCGGCCGGTACTTTGGAATTTCGGTCTTGTGGGTGCGTGAAACACACTCGGAAAGGAAGCGGAAATGATCAGGTTGACTACCGTCAATCCATCAAACTGGGCTTCGCAGTCTCAGTAGCATGATTCGGACTTGGGTCTATGGACAGCCTCTAGATAAACATCTTGGATGAGACAGTTGGGATTTCAGGGTATTTAATATTGGCTTGGAAGTAATGACAAATAAGACCAGTGTGGGTCAAGAAAAATCTTGGGCCCGTTGAGGATGCAGTGGAGTTCCTCACCACCATTTAAACATGGTAATAAAACTGCCGTGATGTTCCAAATTGGAAAAAGTGTCAAGGAGGTCTGCTGGGTGGTGCTGGAGTATAAGCCAGATTGCGGCGCAAAATGACAGGCAGCTAAGGGTGGCTGAAATTTGTAAAAACTCTACTAAATCGACATTACCCAGTTTCAAAAACGCTAATAGACCTTCAGTTGGAGAGAGTAGGGAATGGCTCTACGCGGTTGATGCGAGCAGGTTTGGTCCTATGTGAATATAAGGGACAAGCATCAGCTAGAGTTCATCAGTAAAGTCGTGACTAGCAGTGTAAGTGTCCATCCAGCTGGTCGGGGGGTGTAATCAGAGGACTACGAAAACCTCGGATGAATCGTGCGTGACTCTGCAGTTAGCTCGTGTAAAAGGAGTGGTTGCTGGAAAGCTTTTCGTTTTGTAGGGTTATTACGTATCGGAGAACGCTGGAGCCGCAAAAGACAGGCTACCAGCCAGAGGCCACAGTCACCGGTGGAATATCGACCGGGGATGTACGGGCTTTCGATTTACATGCCACACACAAAGAAGTGTCGATTGTATTCGAACAGCAAAACTGGGACATTCTAAGAGTTTTACAACCGCCCTTCCATGACTATAGCTCGTGGCGTCAAACAATCCGCAACCAGGCACTTGGAAAGCGAACGTTTGATTGTGCGACTGGGGCTTGCAATGAAGAATATTGCAGCACCAGAAGATGCATTAGTTGGGATGTATATCACCAACGATAATGATAATTTTGGGAGCAATCATTTTATTTTGTGGCGAATTTTACATATATGTGTATTTGTACCAGCACTGACGGAAATGTTTCTGACGAGGTCAATGCAAGAATCCCTAAGATTAGAATCCCGTTTGCCAATCTGCATTACCTAGGGAGTCAAAAAGACATACCGTTGTGTCTCGTAAAGTTATCATTTAACAAGCCATTGTAGGGGGTGTTTGCTGAGCAGCTGTGAAGCTTTTGCTGATGGAAAATATGAGGCTTCTTCAGATTTTCGACCATGGATGCCTCAGCATCCGTGCTGATTTTAAATGACGTCAACGGGTTTGTAACGAGGTTGGTCGATGTTTGGTTATGCGGCAGGTTACCCCAGTGGCGGAAAACATCTGGAGCAACCCACCATGATAGCTCGACCATTTTTAGGCACGCTGAAACAGTCCATCAGGAAAAGCGTTGTTCTATGTGCGCCTTTCAGAAGGGCGAAAGCAATGAGCGAAAAACGTGCGACCTGGTATGAAAGACATTACGAAGAGTTCGGTTGATTTGGTGTTGTACGCCTTCCCGGATTGGTCCCTACCATTCTTCCTGAGCTTGGCTGGAAATGCTGCGGGTAATGGCGGTTGATCGATGTCAGTGGAGTTCGTGCCTCAGTTTGTTTCAAAAATTCAGTTCAATTTATTAGGTATAAACCATGTATTATATGCACCTTGGTTCCATCTGCTACGGTTTATATCACCAAAAAGCGGAAAGTGTGGTACTCAGCCAAGCATTAAAGATCATGGTATGCTCAGTTATTTTGAGAACTTGGTAACTGGGAATTGAAGGCGACAGCTTTGGCGCACGGGTAACGCTGACTGCGCTTGTGAAACGGCTGCCGTCCTACTTAAAACCCAACCACCCCCCGACCCCCTATATGAAATAGGTCCAGTACACATTTGAGTATAGCGACGATAATGTTAGTAGGCAAGTAGAAGATCCAGTCATCCTACCTTCCCC